CTTGTATATGGTTGACGAGTATGCACGAAGTGACACTGTTATCCCACAAACTTCGCCTACTGATAGTTATTTGGAATTATAAAGGGAAATTCATGTTTTAATATCAAATTTGCCTAATGTTGTAAGTCCCTACATTAGGAGACCCAAAAAATCAGCAAAAAGGGAACGAAATTGTTTCTCTACGAATTGACTACCTGCTCTCATTTGAGTGCGTTCAATCTAAACCTGCTCTACTATTCGTCAGTTGTGACGATCGTAATGTGAAAGCGCCTTTGATTTGCCGTCTAAAATAGCGCTAACGCGACGTCACTTGGTACCGTCCGTCACTAGCGGGTGGTGCTAAAGGGAGATAAGGGCAGAAGTGTGTATTTAATTCCTGGGTGGATTTTACATGTAACTTTTTCCAAATAGCGTATAACCTTTTAATAAGCCGACTTCTCTCTACGGAAATGAAAAATTGTCCGAAATATATCGGCTTCTATCCGGTAATATACGGTACATCCGTGTTGCTCCATCGCAGTTAGAGGAGCCAAGTGCACGGGATCACCTCGTTGAATCCTGCGCGTTTACAGCTTATTACAGCTGCGCCATATCCCAAATCTGAAATCCGCAAATTGGGGCCTAGGAACTGCTTAAATTCCGAGACCGATTTTGCCTCGAATATTGTCTCGGACAAGTTGTTCCACTATTTCATCACTTGCCGCTCGAAACACATAGGGTGAGTTACTCCTATCAGCTCCGGCACTACGAGTTTGTACCGGTGTCCTCGAGCGCTGCTTGGTGTGCACATGCACCGCAGCGGTCTCAACATAGGGAAGTTACTCAGATTCAATATCCGATGCGTCATAATGAGATCAATCATAAGCCGATGATACGACGGGGCGTACAGCCCCAATCTCTTGCATCGGTCTTCGTGCGACATACCTCGTAATTTGGGGATGGATCTGGAAGCTTCATGTTAAACCCGTTCCAGTCTCTGCACTTCGCCACGAGTGATCAGGCAACAGGAGGGTGAGCCGTACTATAGCATTGGTTTTATGATGGAAGAGAAGAGACGAGTGGCAATCTCTTTAGATCAAAAACGAAGACAGTACTTGAGCGCCTAAAGCATTCGCAGTCAATTTCCATATATCTTATTCGTGTCATTCAGGGGCTTTAAATTGCAGTGTGAATGTACGTCGAGATCCTTCACAGAAGATGCGGGGTGCAGCGGTTGCCCGACCACATACCCCCATCACCAACCTTCCCCAGGCTCATAAATGACGACTTGACTGGGTTGACCGGTAGATCGTACTCTGATGACCACAGGGACAGGCGGTGGAGGTCCTGCTAAAGTACGTCACAGTCATCGGGAGCATCAATTACTCTCCAAATCTTCAGGTTGTCCGCAAACAAAGCACAAGACGACCGAAGAAGCTGACGCACTTCGTTGATGTGAATCAGGAATAAAATGAGCCCCAACGCTATAACTTAAGGTACGCCACTAGTGGAAAAGTACCAGTCCGTTAGATGATCATCCAACTGTACACTCCACTTCCGCCCAATGAAGAAGTCTCTGATCCACTGGTGCAGTAAACCACCAACACCCCACATCTTCAGCTAGTGTAGCAGGACCTCATGGTTGACCTTGTTGAATACTTCACTGAAATCAATGTATATCACGTCAACTGAATTTCCCCAGTCCAGCACTTACAACCACTCGTGCCACGTCGCAAGCAAGTTGGCGAAGTCTGAGCGACCTTTCATGAAACCGTACTGTCCGGCGTCAGGTCTTTCGATTCCAGAAGTTGCAGTAGACCCTTCTCCATGACCATCTCAAGCAATTTAGACAAAACAGTGGTCAGACAAATTGGTTGATATCTTTTCTGCCTTGTTTGGGTCGGAAATGCATACTTCGTAATTGTCGGCAGGGCCACAATACTCGTCGCCGTCTAGCCAACTGGCCATACCTTTGTCGAACCAATGTGGCTTCACTGACTCAGCTCCCCGATACTTGATGGATACGAATCCAGCGCACAGAACAGGCTTTAACAGATGAATCCTACGGCACCGACCAGTCCACTTGGCTAGCGGCTCGAGTGAGATCACCGAAGTCGGTCTCCCAGTAGTTTTAAGATGGCTCCAGCGAACGCTACTATGGAAACGAAAGCTCAAGACTAGCCATAATCGTTGAGTGACCACTCGCTTCTACTGGCTCCAGCATCAGAACGTCACGTACACGCTGTTCGCAGCTAGTCAACATCAGGTACAGGCAATACGAACTGGAGTGGGGTGTAATGCGCGTTGGTTCGCAAATGTGATGTGCTGCCACAGTTTCGAATATCACGACAGCAAACTCTGCCTTCACTCCACAATGGCCGAAGAGAAGTTGAACCCCAAACCAGAGCATTCGAGAGAAGCTAAGATCACACAAGTGTGGGAAGTGAGGGCGGTTCATGTAGCTTCGGGGATGTGGCAAGCAATCCAAACAGTGATTTCGCGGACTGCGATAGGCTACACCCACGAACAGTCGCCACGCCTCAGGTGGATGGAGCACCACAGTTGCTCACGCAGACCATGTTCACTTCGGTACGTGTTTACCAGTCTCCCGCACAACGAGGACCGCATGTATGGCAACACGCCACCGCGGTAGTTTGATAGTCTGTGGTATCCGAAGCACAAATGGCCTTTGATCTGGACTTCCTGAGCGGTTACTTCAGGATTCAACCAGGTCTCAGCCAGTCCCAGTACGATCGGCCGACGAGAGGCAACGAAGTGGCATTTGTGCATTAAACTGCAAACATTAGTTAAAACTACGAGCAAGCCACCGTAAGAACCGCAGGCCGTGTATGAAGCGTCATCAACCTGTTGATCCGGGTTCGGCGAACCCGGGGAACTAAGCTGAGGTTTACTGGGAGTGATAGGAGGGTATGTTGTCTCGAGTGTAGACCAACGAAGCTCGCTAATCGTCGTCACTGAATCATCTGCTCCAAAGATCAGAACGAGCTGAAATTATATAAATCGCCAGCTGTACGCCGTAACGGCGCTTCGCTGTCACGAGACCACTACCAGTCGCGCGCGAGCAACTACTGCAGTCAGTACAGTATAATTTAACTCATGTCTGGTTCACGTTTCCGTCTTCAATAAACTCCAGCTGCCGCGTACTCGCCTTGTTGGTTCTTCATTACTATGAACTGGCTTTCTCAGCGTTCAGAGACAGCAACGTGGAGACTAGTTCCTCCACTAGCAGTAAGCTGCTTTAATTCAACAATGGCGGACTTGTGTTTACCGATCTGACGGCTCCACATATTAGCGAACATAGATCATTAGACCTCTTAGCCTACCGAGGCGAGATAGTATCAGCCTCAAATTCGCCTCATCAATGAAAGCAAATCGCAGACGCTGAGTCTTCCCTACTCTATATTTCCAAGATGCGAGATTTTCTTCACCATTAACCCGTTTACCTATGTCGAGAGGTCTGTCAATCAGAATCTGCAGATCTCAATGCGAGCGCAATCATTTGAATCAGCTGACTCAGGCGAATGAAATATCGTGAGGTTGCGACGCCGCTGGCAGTTGCTCTCACTTTATTCTCTTGTTTCATTTTCTACTGGCCTTCATTGCTTATGCTATCGCTCGGCACGGCGGTTTTGCACGTAGGAGGCAACACAGGCACACCAAGGGAGCATCCAGTAACGGTCGGATATCGCTCCGGAGAGCTAGCAGCCGACGGGATGATGGGCTCATTCGAACTTAGGGGTAGCTCAGTTTCCGATTGTTGGGCTGAACCCACGGAACCCAGCTATGGAACGTTTCACTCTTCTTGTTGGTTCGTAAAGTGTCTCGACTGCTGCTGATTGCACTTTAGTCTGATACTTCTTACACAATATTTGGACAGTCATGCTGAATTCCACGCAGAAATTTACATTGGTCAGTGGATAAACCGAAGCACCGGATATGAAAATTCACGTGACAGATAAGGCATGTCACAGCATTAGCTCTAAGTCCGACAATTTCGCCACAGGGAGTCTGCTTCGTCATTACACATAGCTTAACTGATATGACGACAAAAAGCAAACCAACGTAACGACCAGAACACAATTTAAAAACCAAAATAAAATATATGGATGAGACACTTCTGCACAATAAACAAATTCAGAATCGCAAAAGAGATTGGATTTACCAAGAATTAACGTCAAAAACTGCCATGCACAAGGTAATAAACGGGGCAGTATGTCCTGACGATAGAGCGATAAAAGTCTACTGGCCAATGAGGTTTCGGACAAATTGTGGTGAGCCAAAAGCTGGTATTACAGCGTTAATGATAAGTAGCATAGAAGTACCAGGGAAGCCGGACTATAGCGGACTGGCAGCAGAAGAAGAGCACTTAGTTGGATACAAAAGCAACATGCGCCACGTAGTAATCGAGAGAAAGTGCGCAGATAGGTGTGACACCGTGTGTGGTTGCCGACGTTTACCACGATAAAGAACCCTTTGTACGTTGAGTTCTTGCAACCCGAATCAGATGATGACGATAGTCAACGCTAACCCAGTACTGAATGTGGCATGGGCAAGATACTAAAGCGAGTAGCAGTAACCGGTGATAATTGGCTTAGGTCTTGTTTGGCTGTCGTGTTGCAAATCTGTGGCCGTGGAACAGTCACTGATTTTCCACAAAGCAACTATTCAAACGTGAAGTGATAAATGGACCAGATCTCGAATTTCATATTGCCAGTCAGAAACTCTGGAACAACTATTGACGGTCGCACGGGAACTTCAGACATGTAATGTCGTGAGACAACGCTTTGCTAAATTCGTTACCCGTGATACCCTAGGAATAGCATCCTTTGTTGTCATGCAAGTCGATTCGTGGTCGAAGTGCAAACTGGCTTTTGCGTTTTGCTGCGTTGCACGACACTGAAACATCTTAAACTCACTGCTAGGCACCACGACTGAATTAGGACGTAATTCAGTTATCACGTGCGAAAAGGATAACAGCAGGAGGCACAATGCATACTCACTTGTTTCTGAAGAGCGATGACTTGTGAAAAGTTAGTATAAACGATGTTTGAATATAGCTCACATCCCATCAGAGTGGCACCCTCGTACTCTTTAATGTATCCTTGATAGGCTTGTCGCGACAAACGAATTTCGCGAGAAAAGCCTTGCTTACGGAAATAACCCGTAGCAAAGGAATCTGCGTAAGTAAGAAAGTGAAATATCCCATGTTGGACATGATAATCCTTCAAATGATTCATCATTTGCGTTCCATAGCCCTGTAAAAGCGCAGAAAATAGAAACGAAGTAGAGGGCAGTAATGGAAACAGGTGGAGAAACATAGAAACAATGCATTCATCATAGACATCGACGCACGCACTAAGGTGCCATTGCAGTGCTACCGTAGAGGGAGCAGGGGACAGTGCTCTTACCACAAGCACATCGATCACACCACCAACATACTGCAGTGACTTCAAAGATGTCTGCTCTCCAAACCGCGATATAGCAGTGCACACTTCCATATATATATATATATATATATATATATATATATATATATATATATATATATATATATATGGCTGGCGGCATTAGGTTTCAGATTTGCCTGTCACTGTGGCCAGCCACAGGATGCCTGCGCTTACAAAGTGACAATAGGCGCATTGCGCTGCACCACCTACAACTCCATCCACACATCCCATATCCAGTGTAAACCAGAAGGAATAAGACCGGGAGGCAGGTGGATGGGAGCCACGTTTCATCAACGGAGTCGGCCCACACTCCTTCACAGGCATACACAAGCATACTGTATTTGGGGAATCAAACGCACACAAGGCGGTGGCTGCACCATAGTCCGCTACACAATGAGTGCATGGAACCACTCTTCGAGCCAAGCACGACCACAAGGACCGTGCACCCCGTCCCCTCCAGCAACAACCGTCTCTTGGAACCAGTATGGAAGAGGTAGTGGGTAATGGGCACCTTGTCAACATGCTATCAATCGCAGCCACACCGGGGATATTAAGTAACAGCCAATCACTTGAAACGACAAGATGAAATAAAATAAATCGGATGATGCATATAGATACGGCGGCATAACTCTTCACTAAATGGGCGTATAAAACAAATTGTTTACGGACGAATCCGCGACAGTAAATAAGGTGAGAAGATGTATTTTAAGAAAATGCCAAAAAACGCGAAAATATTAACCAGTTAACCAGCTTCAGCGAAACGTGTATGTCCATAGAAGATAGTTCAGACAGACATTAATAAGAGAAAGAAAAGAATAAGAACAAGATTGCAAAAACACCACCTGAAATAAAGAGACAGCATGCAAGCATGCGGTTGGTAAATCGAATGCAGTGTACCTACAAAGGCTGCGCCGGTTCTGCCTATGTTCTCAGCAGGACTCATCGTCGTTTTGGTGTTAGTTCTGTGTGGCGTCGCTCATTGCTCACTAGACCTATCTGATTCACGCATTCGTGACCGCATGTGCTACAGTACCATGCGCTCGACGTCGATGGTGTACAACCCATCGACGCATGTCACTTCTTCTTCTCCACATGAATGCTGTTTTTCTCCTGCACCTGGGCAACTGCCTTCGTGATCAGACCGCGACATGCACGCCGATTAACCGCCTTCCATTCCCATGAAATGCAATCAAGATTAGAATGTGAGAGGCTCACCTTAATCATGTCCTGATAACGTAACTTCGGTTTCCACGCATGCCGCTTCCCAACCCTCAGCTGACCATATAATAGCTGCCTTCGTATTCGCGTCGAACTCATATGCTACACATGACCGAGCCACCTCAGGTGTCGCACAAAAAGTATGCAATCCACTGTATACATTCCACTGTGACGCAATACTTCCGTGTTAGCAACTATGTCGCCCCAACTGATGCGCAAAATTCGTCGCAGACACTGCTGATGGAACCGCTCGAGATATCGCACATCCCGCCGGTACATCGTCCACGTTTCACTGCCGTATAGAAGAACGGACATCACCATGGATTTGTACACCATCAGCTTCGTGCCAATGCTAAGCTGATGGTTGTTCCACACTCGGTATTCTAGCTTCCCGAATGACGCCGCTGCCTACGAGACGCGGATACGCAGCATACTGTAAAACTGATGGTCAGTCGACATCACACTCTCAAGGAAGCAGAAGCGGAAGGTCATCACTAATACTTCAGCACCAATGCTGATTCGCGGCAATATTGAAGATTGCACCTCCGGTGAAGGCTGAAAGAGACAGACAGTTTTGCTTGTGTTGATGGTGAGCCCGCATTTGGCCGCTGTCGAAACCAGGGCACTAATCATGTGCTGCAACTCATCCGCGCTGTGTGCAAACAACGCACAGTCGTCAGCAAACAGCAACATACCGATAGTTGTCTCACACACACGGGTTCTCGCTCAGAAATGACGGATATTCAGCAACCCACCATCAATACGGTGCTCCACACGAACATCGTAAGCACAAGCCGAATCAAAAGCACAGGACAACATTGCATGAAGATATATATTAATCAGGACAGGAGCTAAGACACAACCTTGCTTCACACCAGGGACAACTGCAAAGTCATCCGAGGTCTCTCCACTCAGCTGCACCCTCGCCCGCATACCACTGCAGAGATTCAATTAAACTTACAAACTTACGCGGGCAACCAAACTTACCCAACACCAGTCACAATGTCTCGCGTGTCACCATAGCAAATGCTATGGTGAAATCAACAAAATGCGAGTACAATGGCTGGTGTCGTTCTCTACACTTCTCTTGCAACTGACGAGCCGCAAACACCATATCCATAGTGCTGCGACCCGAACAGAATCCACACTGCTCTTCCGCCACGTTAGGTTCCACAACCTGACTGACGAGGCGGTTGAGCAGGATTCGGGCAATAACCTTGCCCACACAACTCAGCAAGTTGATGCCACGATAATTCGTGCCACATTGCTTGCTCCCTTTGCCCTTGTACAGTAGTGGCACAAGAGCATCCTTCAGCTCAGGATGCACCTCCAAGTGATGCAGCGCAGTCACCATCGCGGGTCCGCCGCGTTTCAGTACTTCAGACGAAATCCCGTCCGCACCGGAACACTTGCCGTTTCGCAGCTGAGCAAGTGCTCTCAGCGTCTCATCCAGTGTCAACGTATCCGCCAGACTCGTCTTCACATCGTGTTGCTTCAGGCCATTCAATGTAGGCTAGTCGATATCTGAACGGTTGTTCAAGAGACAGTCGAAGTGTTTCCGCCAGAGCTGCATTATGTCTGAAGTCTGTGTGCAGGTAGCGCTTGAACTACCATCGATCAGCGTCCACAGCGGCTCCACTCTCGGTCCATACACCGCCTTCAAGGAGTCAAAGGATCCCTTGTTGGTGTAGTTTGGCGTATCATTCCATATGCTTCGCCTTCTCCGTCCACCATGCATTTTTAATGCGACGGAGCTCTCAGGTCAGTCGCCGTCGAAGTTTGCGAAACTGACTCTTCTTCCCCAAGTCACCGGGGTCTGCCAAATGTGCATCAAATGCTGCATTCTTCCCCGACACGAAGGATAGCTCAGTGTAAAATGGAGCACGCGTGTCATCTGAATAACACATGGTCAGACCGTACATGCTTATAAAAGTGGCAAAATTACTTCTTCCGAGTCGTAGGCGAACAGTCATCAATCGCGCGCTGATGTCTGTTGGTTCACCCACCAGCTGGCCATGGAGACGATCGGATATTGCAAATCCGACCCCATGTTCATGTGGTGCTGAGTGGCTTTACTCATCCGGTAGAATGTGTAGCCAGCACCAGCTTCATGCAACTTGCCTTGCTCAGCGTGCCGGCTTTTACTGAGCACCGAAATATCGATGTTGTAGCGCGCCAGTTCCATCGCGACTAGTGCCGTGCGTCACTCAGTGCGCTGACTCGTGTTCCAGTCCAGTAGTGTGCACGCGTTCCAGCACCCGATGCTGAGTGGTTTGCGCGCAGGCATAAGATTTCATTGGTAGGGAATCGCACGCGAGGTGGCGGTTGTGCTTCGGAAGTTTGCTTGAGGGACTCCACTCTGAGTTTGGCTCAATAGCCTGACCCACAAGGCAGTTGGGGTTGGAGCTTTGCTTGAGAGACTCAGCCCGGAGCCTTGGACTCAATGGCCTGACCTATAAGTCAGTGGGGAGCAGATCCAGCTTGGGAATGTGGTTGCAAAGACAGATTGGGATCTGCTTGAGGTCCGCCACACGCAGGCTTTGAGGTACAGGAACGATTTAGATATATTTTGCGATCGTAGTAGGATAAGCACCTGCGACCACGGCCAGACGCAGGAAGGTTTTGGTGGGTTTGCACCAATTAACCCAGGGGCTGCCTGGCTTGATGCGGGCAGTAGCCAACCATTGAACACCCGGAGGTTCCCCCCCCCCCCCCTTACCGTCAGAGATAATGCGTGGCGCTCATGCTCTACGCCAATCGTACTGTGAGCTAATAACCCGTAGACCAATTGTGTCCCATATATATATATATATATATAACATATTATATATATATAATATATACATATATATATATATATATAATATATATATATATATATATATATATATATATATATATATATATATATACCTCATGCTGAGGCTGATGTTGCATTCATGATGCTTTTTCACCGCAGCTGGGCTAAACCAACTTACACTTAAACTAGGTCTTTTTAGGCTGCATAACTTTCATTCACTTTATTTGGTTTATTCTGCCTATTTGAATAATCCTCTATTAGCTAGCCACGTTGCTTACGCTAACTGCGCTTATCTTCGGTAACTTTGTTGCGTTTGTAGCATTTTTAGGTAACTTGTGGACATTTTTTCTTATCGCGGATTCGTTGCTAACCAACTTCCTTCATATACTAATTTAGCGAAAAGTTATGCCGCCGTATCTGTATGCGACATCCGATTTATTTTATTTCACATTGTCGTCTAAAGTGATTGGCTATTGCTTGATATCCCCGGTGTAGCTGCGCTTGATAACATGTTGACAAGGTGCCTACCTGTCTGTTACCCACTACCTCGATCATACTCGTTCCAGGAGACAGTTGGTCGTTGCTGGAGGGGACAGGGTGCACGATCCTTGTGGTCGTGTTAGGCTCGAAGTGCGGTTCCATGCACCCATTGTGTAGCGGACTACGGTCCAGCCACCGCCTTGTGTGCGCTTGATTCCCCAAATACAGTATGCTCGTGTATGCCTGTGAAGGAGTGTGGGCCGGCTCCGTTGATGAAACGTGGTTCCCATCCACATGCCTCCCGGTCTTA